CCGCCGCCGCCGCTCGGAATAAAGCTCGCAAATGGACGAAAAAAGTGGTCGCGCGATAACGCGCGCTCCTTTCCCGTCAAGGTGTATTCACTGCCCTCTCCGGCGCCGCTCCCCTCCCCTTGGTCGTCCCTCCGTCAACCCCAGGTCCCCGCAGCTCACCCCATTTCCATGCCGCCGTCACATTAGACTGCTGGCATTTCCATTTCCATGAAACGTGCATCCTGCTTGTCGTCGTCGTCGTCGTTGTCGTCGTCTGCATGAGGCTGCTAACGGTGGACGACATTAAATAAATATTGCGCCTACGCGCGAGCAACGACGTTATTTACTTATGCCATTGTGCTTCCGTTATTCTCGTGATGATCGTCGGATCTATGGTGAAAAAAAAATCCACGCGACTGGCTGCGACACCAAAATATATATGTTTGCGAACGGCTCGATGTCGATGAAAAACGAAAAATTCCGTGTTCCGTGAGAAATAATAGTCTTCTGCCGAATTTATCGGCGATGTGAATCAAAACTGGAAAGCTGAAATTTCCTATAAATTTTCCACACATTTTACCAAGCTTCCCATGGTTAGTAAAAGTTCGTATTTCGCGCGCGCGTTAAGTATCTTCAAATTAATACATTTTACACATAAAAAAAAATACGAATCTTTAAGGTGATGATTGCGTGTAATGCGACATTGGATATCGAGTGACGAGAAATTTTTCTCCAAACTTCCCCTGCAAGGCGTCGCTGATTAAAGCCATTTCGAGAGATTAATTCCACGTTACTCGCGAGATTGAAGCCGCGCCATTGCATTGAGCACACTCGCGAGGAATGAAGCTGCGACACGGTCGGGGAAGATCAAAGAATATGTCTCGGAGATTATAGCAGGCGCATAAAAGATTAAGATTCCCTTGTGCCGAGTTTACTTTGAGCAGAAGTGGCTTCGGAACGATGGCGAGCCGTTGAAAGCAGCGCGCATTATGTCCGCGAGAGGACGGAGACGGACGTCGTTCTCGTATCTTTTCTTATCTGCCACGCCTGTATCGGCGTCTGTTCATTTCGGGAACACAGATATCCCGGCGAGAAAACATCGCATTTCCTTGCGAAAAAGGGCCGTTCTTTTCCACCGCCGTCTTGGCAAACGCGCGAGTTTCGTCATGGGCCACCGAGGAAGGAGCACAATGCGCATTGTGCATTGTCGATGTATCAAAGATTTGCGCCATCGTCAGCTGCACCGTCGTCAAAACGGACGTAGTCTCTTCCCGGGCTCGAGACTGTCCTCGCTTAACGTTACTAAAAGTGCATTGATCCTGTCAAGCCAGGTACAAAACCCGTTTCCTCTGTTTCCTACGGGTTGAATGTAAATCCTATTCTTTACAATGACTTTGATACCGTGTCGAGTTTTCAGCGAAATGCAAGTCGTTTTGTGCAGATGATAACTCCATATTCTTCTCGGTACAATTTCTTGTGCATTTCATTCTGTCATTTCATTTTCTTATACTTTACGTTGTACGTCTTTCGATTTTCTAGTACAATGGTGAAGAAATGATCCTTCTTTCTGTTTTTTTTTTTTTTTTTAAATTAGGATTTTGTGGAAATATATTGCGCCGCGTGTGTTGTGCTCTTTGCATCTCGATAATTGAGCTTTAAAGATTATTTCAGGACCCTTACTTTCAGTGAGATAATCAATGCCGCAAAAATGTAGTTACGATTTTTTTATGAAATATAATTTCGTCGTAAACATATTTGTATTATGTACGGCTAAAAGCTCGAGATCCATAAGTTGTTTATTCTTTGGTTTTCTCGATGCTTTTCTCCGCATCATCCTGTTTTCTTGTCTCACAAAGATGCATTTTAAAAATATTTTTATTTTTTCTTTTCGCTAAAATCTTTATTTTTTATTAAAAAATGCTACTAATTTTAAAAAAATAAAATTATACTTCAATCGCAAACATTATTTTTATAAATATTTGTTAATCGCGCATTAATCAATGCTGTAAGATTCGTTGTTTGCTTTCCCCGATTCTTTTTTTCTTGGTGATCACGACTAAAAGCATTAAGGATCAATGCCCTTTTATTTTCTACTAAAGAACGAGTTGCAAGAAGATTCTTGCAGCTCGTTTTTATTTTATGTAAGACATACTTCCTCAAGATGCTATTACTGGGGATTCCATCTCTACTAAAAGCTTTAAAGATTATCACTCTTTTATTTCGAAACAGAATCTTTTTTGATGAAAGTCCAATTGCGTGCATTTATCCGCGATAATACTTTATTACGAGCGCATTTTTATTATATAAAATAAAGATCTTTTCTGGCTGTAATTTGCTTTCGTTTAAACTAAAAGCTTCACAAAATTGCTTCATTTAAAAAACTAAAAGTGTAAAACTTTTTTTTTGTGACACAGTACTTTTAATTTCCATCTACACTAAAAGCTTTGAAGATCAATATCGCTGCATGTTCAAGTATTCAACACACTAGTCTGACTACACTTTATTTAGAATAAAGTGTTTCATTATAAATATATTTTGTGTTCAGGTTTTATAATATGCAATTTGCGTTTACCGTCCCATTCACGTTAATTACATATGCGTCAGTAGATTTAGTACAATTAAAGACCAAGATTAATTGTAAATTAGGATTAATTTTGCTTTTTCATTTACATTCTTCTTTTGCTTTTTTGTTACTTGAAAAAAGTATTTAATGTTAATCCAATATTAGCGTAATTCATACTGAACACTAATACATTATATTTCATATTAATGCATTGCATCATAGGAGAAGTATTTTCCCTATGATGTAAGACACAAACAGAAAGAATAAATAAACGCAACTGTATCTTCTTACGAGCGCGATAGTACGTCATTCGAGCGACAGCGTACGTCTCGCGAAAATTCGAATTTCAAATGAGTTAACGCACGCGATGGAGAAGTATCTCCTTCATCTTTTCTGCACATCGTCAACTCATGCGCGATTAGATACTCGGGAATAGGTGCAATCGAGCGCGATCCAGACGATTGCGACATCGTGCGAGAGCTGCACTCGAGTCGTCGAATGGATAATGTCGCGAGAGAACATGGCCCTTCCTTTTCTCCAGGTTTCTCGCCGAGTTTTCGGTACATCTGCTAAGCGCATTACGAGATAAAGGGGAGTTTCCCGTCTTACCGATGCTCGCTGGAAAAGACGCGCGCAATACGAAGGATTTCTTCATCGTCCCTGCGTCTCAGTCGTATTACACATCGTAGACCCGCAGAACGTCAGATTAACAGCTTGTTTTATGATGCATCGTCGGGGATACGCGTGAGTGTGTTTTCATGTCCTTTGAGATTTCATCGAAGCATCAAAATGGTGCATACAAAATGGTGAAATTTTTCATCATCGCTGTTGTTTTTTTTTTTTGATACATTTTTCACACGTATATGTAGTTCTTAATGAGACACTGGTAATTGAAGGAGAATATTGGAGGTAAAAATATTGTGCGTGCAATGGAAATATTTTTATCGTGTTTGTTATATTTTTCAGATTTAACTTTGTTTATTATTTAGAAATCGGAGAAGAGCTTTTCGCAAAATTTAATTGATCCATAAATCAGAAATTCTATTGCCATTTTTTTTTTTCCAAAGGCGACAGAATACTCGAGACATGCATTTCGCCGAATTTGTCGTCGGGTGGTAAAGAACCGTGAAAACGGCGTTTGCTGGCGGCGCGGCGCGTGATAAAACACACAATATTTCCCTATCACGCAAACGCAGTCGGCTGAAATAAATTAAGCGTCCTCGCAAATTTTCGGAAATGCCGGCAGAGAGTCGTGCAATATAATGAAGAGCTACAGCGACATTAACATTCTACATTGCCGGAGAGAGAAAGGGCGGTCGTCGTAATGTTGCGCGCTTATGTTTCGCGCAGTTGGCGATGTGCTGTGTCCGGAAATAGCAGCGAACGAAAAACGCGCTCGTGCGGCTCAACCGTGAGTAATCACCGCGCACGAATCCCCCGCGATTTATACCTCGTTCCGTATTCCCGCCGACTCTTGCGACGAGCAAGTCCATTCAAGTTTGATAAGTAACTACGGAGCTTGCCGTGGGAACTTGCCCGACCTTTGTTCCACCGACGCGAGAATCAACGAAGATGCAAAATGCCTACGCGAGCATACCCAATCATTGTGAAACACTTGGAGAGAAATCGTTTCGTTCTCCAAAGCTTTAACCGATTGTTAATGGAAAGATAAACACGGCAAGAAAGATAAACACTATCTTTGTCTGAAGTCACTTTCTCATTCAGGGAGATAACTTTTAATTCAATTTGCTACGAGTGGAAACCGCTGTAATTACGACAAATTCAGATTCCGATCCAATAAGTGAGTCCAAGAATACTTAATGAATCACATTTCACAGATCTTAATACATTAATCGTCATAATTAACATTGGTATCTCCGATGTTTGATGTAAGATTTCAGCATTTTACATCAATATTGCGTCTGCAGCTTTCTGTGCACACCCGCAGAATTTTATTAATCGATAAAAGCTCCGATACAAAATATTTTAACAGCGAAGAATATTTCTCTCGCCGAGCTGTGCTCCACAATTTTCCATGTAAATCTCAAGCACATGTTACGTGGAATTTATTAAAATATATACATTTCCTTTTCCGAACGATCGAAGTAACTTCGACTTCCGGCGAAGTTTGACAGATTTTCACGTAATCGTTCGTTTGGAGATTGGAAATGTACGTGTGTAAAAGGCTGGCGCTTCGATTGCAGAAATTGTTAAGCGGACAGACTGCGAGAACGGACTTGGGGATGGAAAGGGGACGTTCAGTCGATCAAATTTCAAAATCGTTAATCCATAGCGCTCGTGCAGATTTTCGAAAGTCTTTTGGACCAGAACTGAGAAAACTGCGTTCCGCTTGGATAAGTAATGACCGATGTGCCGGCGAAATCTCTCTCCTTTCTCTCCAGGATAGGGAAAAGCTGTAACGGCGGCACACACGTGTGCACGTAAAGGACGTACTCACCGTTGAGAACGTGGACCGCGATGGTGGTCTTGGCTTTGCCGGGGACCATGCAGCTATAGTTCCCGGCGTGCCTGGGACTGGCTCTCTCCACGATGAGGGTACTGACAATCACGAGGATCTCCTTGCCCGCCGAGATCTCCGTCGTTCTGTTCTCGCTGGAAAACGAAATCGTGCCGTGAGTTTCTGTCGAGTTCACATATCGCGTTGACACACAGGCAAAATTCTGCGCGAATGTACAGGTTTTCCTATATATTTGGTTACGAGAATTCTTTCATTATTTCGAAATCGATTTTGCTGCAGCGCCAAAATTTCATTGGGTGCTATTTTATTTTTAAATCTAACAGATTTTGTTTCAAGCTTAAATGTTATTTTTTCTCTTTAGATCTCAACTTATATTTCCATTTCACTTTTTATATTTCAAGTTGAATAAAAATTAAGATTCCTATATTAGCAGTTCTAAAACTTAATTTCTTAATCGTTTCTAATTTAGAGACATGACATCAGAAAGTTCAGTCTTACGAAATCGTAGATCTAATTCGGAACACCTTGTATATATATTAACATTATCGTCGAGTGGTTAAGAGAGAGAGAGAAACGGAAGTGATTTCGTCGAGTGGACGCTGTTACGGGAATTTCTCCCGAGTCTCCTGCATGTAGATTTTGACTAGGCGTTGTCTGTAGATTTAATCAAGAAGCTTATTCAGAGACTCGACAACAAATTTATTAGGTGGCAAACTTTTTCTTCCGACGCGCTCGATTTCTAAAAATAAATGTATTTCCACGTATTTGAAAATACTTGAAAAGGACAAGAAAAAATATCTCCTTGATTTTTGCACAAATAAGATATTTGGAAAATTGAAGTTTATATTTGTCAATCACACTTGATCGTGTAAAATTATTTTTTTCAGAATTTATAATCAAGTCTTTCTCGCAAGTTTAGAAACATGATATCGCAATGAAATAATTATAAAAGCATTTGTAAAAAGTAAAAGTTATTAGAATTTTACTTGCAGAAAGTCTAACGTGAAGAAAGAGAAATGTTAGATCAGAAATCTTCTTTAAAACCTGATATGGAATATTATTATACATAACATTGTACCGTTCAGACAGTACCTCTATTCTCTGATCTCTATTCATATGTTTCTTCGTAAATTTGATATCGAAGAGCTATCGATATGGAGTGTTTATAGAGTATGCAAGAATATTCGTTCCCATGTGGGGGAGAAATTGTAGGAACTGTAAAATAGGGCACGATCGTTTGCATCGAACGTGAATATTCACGTATATTTCAAGCGTGTATTGTAAAGCTTTATTGCTTCAAATTTCTAATAGAAAATCTATATAATATAATACAGGTCGTTAATTTTGGTATATGAATATAACTTTTTTTATAAATATTTTATAATTACATTAAAAAGCCGCTATATGTTTTGTAAAATGTCTGTATTTAGATTTCATATGCATTAAAAATGTGGCCAAAAATTAAATTACGGCGCAATCTTTTATCGGCTCACGTACAAGAATAATACTTATGCGGGATTTTTAGATATTCTCGCTACCCCTCATTCAAAAGCAGAAAGAAGAGAACAAAAGGTCGAGAAAACGATGGAAGGAGAAGCCTTCGCTCCTTTCGGGAATGTAGATTTCAAGCAAACCTCGAGGCACTTACGTATTCCAGTTTTGTCGCGATCCGATAATTTAATTAAAAACCTGCTTTACGCCAGAACTGCAGCAGAATCATTCCGGAGAAAGCTGCAAGACGTCGTTTCTTTCCGTTCCCGATACCGATGCAGACTGCGTTCTTGTACTTTTTTAATCGTTTACGACGAAGAAATTCGCGATCTGATATCATCGATTTTTATTTCTTGCCAGTAATATATTTTGCGTTGAGAAACTGCTGTCTATCACAGATTTAAAGCATATTTAAAGCCTACGAATGTAAGGAACATTGATTTCAATCTTTTTAAAACTTCTGATATGCAGATTACATTTTTAACCGATTTTGGCAAAAAAAGATTCACGATCTTCGTGCAATTTCCTCTCATTTAACGTTAAATGGAGTATAAATATGACACGAAGATATTTTTTTTTATTTACGTACAAATAAATAACACTAAGAAATTATACAAAGGAGCTGTAAATAGAGTGTCTGGACTAACACCGCAATGGTCTATGCGCCACGCGTGGTTTCCGGAAAGCAGCGTAACGACTTATCGTAAGCGATTGCAACTGTCGCGTCTGAATCGGGAACGAACGGTCGCAATACGGGACAATGGTTCGCTTCGAGCACTTACCTAACATCTTCGGCGAGCGTCTCATCTCCCCTAGTCCAAACGACAGACTCGTTCAGCGATTCGAGCACGTCTCTCGCCTCGCACCTGAGCCTGAGGATACTGCCAGCCTTCAGATGCCTCTCCTTGGAAACTATACGTCCGGAATCGTCGCTGATCGTCAGAGTTGGCGCTGCAACATAGACCAGAACACACAATTGCTTCACTCGGTCGCCGTTCGGATTTTCTCCAACTATTTGGTGCGAGCAGTAAATTCTCGCATAAGTTTAAATCAAAATGAAACATTCGTATAGTACAAGAGGAAGATGAGGGAAATAATTCCTTATTAATAGGCAGTCTTATTTAATGTCTATTTATATATATATATTATCAGTCAATAATCTGTGCAGTTTGAACTTAAATTAAATTTTAAAAAAGCACATAAGAATATTCAAATAAATAAATTCAATATAATTTTTCTCTATAATTTTGCCCTAAACTTAGAAAGAGAGCAAATGATAAAGTTTTTATATAAATACTACCACAAAGGTTTTCCTAAAATGTCTTGAATCAAAGACAAAAAATTGGAGCATGGATATTTTTGTGTAAAATTCAAAGATTGGAGGATCTTTTAATCATTCACACTTTTTTTCAACTGTCTATCTTTTCTCTCTCTTTCTCTCCCTCTCTCTCGTGCTTCGTTAAATACTCGCAATATTTATATCAAAAGACACGTTCATGAATCGTAAAATTGTAATACACGGCTTTACCTATGCTTATATATAGTATATGTATAATCCAGTGTTTAGTCTTGATGCAAGATTGAACTTAAAATATGTATATACTCTTTCTCAATAATTTATTCTCAGAAAATTATTCATTTGTTCTCATATATTCCAAAAATAATAAATATAGATATATTCATTTATTAAAATAAACTTGGCAAATATGAATTCTTTTAATATGTTTAATGCATTTATTTGAAGCCGAAAACTGTAAAGAATATGTAAAAAAGTGACGAATCTCTTTGAATATTTTTCAATTTAAAGATCAAGTACAAGTGCTATGGTTATTGCTTCTCTGGAAAATATCGTAATAACAATTTGAGCGCAAGATTTGACTCAATTTTTCCGTTCGAATAACGGTGCAAATACGAAATGTATTCCAATATATCCCAAAAATGTCCAGCATAGTTGCAATAAGAATGAAATATATCGATATGCTGTTTCATATGAATGAAAGCGATACGTATAAAAAAAAATTCACTGTAGGTATATTTTTATCCTGAATACTCTTTATTCACAGGATAAAAGCGTGTACAGCTATACATTAACATGTAACATCTGGAATCATCTATTTCCGCTCCAGTTAGACGAGCGCGAAGGTAAAATGCGTCAACCTGCGGTTACATTGTATCACCCATATCGATAAAAGCTGGCCATAAAAAGCTGTCCATCATGGCGGACATTCGCTCACGCGCAATTTTTCATGCGAAAGAATCGAGAATGGACTGTTCGTGACCAGATGCGTAAACGCGTCTCGGAAATATGTTTACCGGTTCGGCTTTCCTCTCAGTTCGCAAAGATCTAACACGTTCGTGGGAATAAAGTCTCGCAAGCGGAGAATCGCGAGCGAGCCCGTTGTTAAAATTCAGTGCGCCCAACAACGATTCTCAAGTCGGCTGCTATGCAAATTTGATGATACCACTCGCTCGATATCTCTCTCATGCTTTATCCGATCGTTTTTGTCCCGTCTACGTGTTATCGGTGCTTGTAAGTTACACGCTATGAACGCCAATTGATGGTATTATATGACACTAAAATGGTTATAATAGAATCTCACGATAATCTCCATTTTTTCTGAAGATTTTCAGAGAACTTAAAAAAATAATTATTTAATGCTGCAAAAATTTCAAAATTCTTGAAATTAAAAAATTAAATTATATAGAATTTATTTATAATTAAATAATCTCAAATATCTTTAAATTTTTAGAATAGCTTATTTGATTATTATTTTCGACTTAAATTTTACCATTTTGTTTTATGAAAAAAAATATTCGTATCTCGTTAAACTGTGTCTTAAAGCGAGTCTACTATTTGTCTCAATGCAGAAATTATGATAAATTATATTGTTTTCTCATACATAAAATTACATCAAGCATCGAAAAATGAAGTTATTGAAATAATTGTTTTAGAATATTATACGTTGTGAACTCTCTTTCTTGGATATAAATTCAAGCTTGAGATTGACTATTTAATATTTTTCAGAGATAATCAGTTTAAGAATTGGACACTAAACATGAATATTAAAAGAAAAATTTCCAACAATTCTTTATAATTTTAATAACTTCGCAATGAAAAATCGCGAAAAGATTCCATCGAGCTTTCTATTTTCCATTTAAGTGGATAGGAACGCTTTGAGTGCGGTACGTAAAGCTCCTTTTAGGAAATAAATAATCTGCTTTAATTAAATCAAGGAATCTTAAATTTTATGTATTTTCTATATTATTACGTTATTTTATCAATTCCCTCTAATTGAATTATAAAACAAAAATACTAATACGAACATAAACGGTTCTGTGTGCAGCGAATATATCAAGATCAAAACTTTTGAAAAAGCAGCTGAATAGTTTATCGAAGATAATTGAATGTAATCGTGTCAGTTACACAAGTTGCAGTATAATGCTTTGAACGCACTTGCTGAAACACTCGAGCAATCCTTTGATTAATATCCGCGATACCGGGGACGGCGAAACCACTTAAGGTGAAATGAAACTGTCAGGCAGAAAGTTCAACTCAATACATGAGTATCTTTGTGCAGTAAAACCGAGAATTCAAAAGTTAAAGGGACTCTGTGAAATGTGCTTTAACTGTTTGGTGCTCTTTGGCAGTTAGATTGGCCTTATATTACGCGCTTGATATTTCTCATCACACGTATAACTTATGAAGTATATTGATCTATGCAGATTTTTGTTTGACGTGCACAGATTAGATTAATTAATAAGCGAAACAAGTAAATAGAAAAGTAGTTAAACATAAACATTTTATATAATCTGAAGATATTTAAATTTTGTAACATTCCGAAGATTTCACAATGATCGAATACTTTCGAGAGAATTAAATATGTATAGGCAAAGTCACGCATAACTTATAAATTTAGTAATGCCACGGGTTTTCGATCATAGAATGTCAAAACGGAAGATTCATTGAATGATATTGACAAAGGACAATCGAAAAACATGTTAATGCAAACACATTTGACGAGCGGTGGACCCGAATAGCGGGAGATACGATAAATGTCTTTGCATAATAAGATACATAGATGGATCACTTAGATGGGCGGGGCGGACAATTCATCATGTCACTCGCATTCACCAAAAACCCCCGTTTGATCGATCGCGACGTATTAGAGATAAATAATTAATGTACATGCAATTATCGAGAGCTTGCTGACGATTTAATAGCAATTTTTTAAATAAAGTAAATGCAAAACATTTATTAACAATTCTAAAGACATTTTGATGTCAATGCTTTTTACAAATAATTAATTATCGTTAATTGATACAAGAACTGTCAATATATATGAGAAATTTTTAAATAAACTTGAATTTGACTATTTGGAAAAAAAAACTGTGACTGCTTCTCAATAAAAACATTGATCGAGTAAATAAAACCCTCAATCTTTTAGAACGATATTGAAACGAATTTAAATGAAGAACAAGTTTATCGCAAAAAGAAATCATCTCTCGTTTACTTCGACACAATCGCGGTATGATTACGTAGGCTACATTTGGCGTTCTTTTCGAGGACGGTGTCTGTAATGACCAAGTAATTGCATCTCGGCTCGGATCGTGCATCCAGTGCGCGGATTCAATTTTCGAGCTGCTGATTAACGCTCGCATACCGCGTTCCGAATCTCATCCCGCGAACAGTCTCCGTGCGAACGACGGCTGTCATTCTCACTCGCCGATAGTTGCGGGAACTACTACCACTCACAGTCGGTCACGGGCCCCTTTTTTAAGCTTAAGTAATTACGTAACATCCGGCTCTGAAGTCGCCGGCGTTTTCTAACTTGCTTCATGTTAGAAGCTTGGCGGGATATCGACAGCTCGGCCTGCGCGTGAGCGTTTTCGGGCTATTCTCCTTTCCCGATGAGAACAGACGCTGTGGAATTCGATGGAGAATTTAATCCAGCTCTGAACGGAATTGAGGTAGAAAAAGATTGAGTGAGTGAGAGAGAGAGAGAGAGAGAGAGTGGGGGAGATCGGCGGAAGAACGGCGTGCGCGTCCGTAATTTCTTTTCGCGGATCATTTTTTAAGCTCCTTTGGGACGGATAGTTAGAGAGGAAAAGGGCGACGAATGCGGAGGTGGGCAATCGGTCGCTTGCTCTTCCCGGGGGAAACGCCAAAGTCGAAGTTGCCGGAAGGGTAGTATTATTTAAATTGGATTCCGCGATTTCCGCGCGACTTCGATCTGCCATCCGCAGTCGAACTTCGTCACTTTTTCGTTCCCACGAGTTTACGCGCCGCTTATTAAAATCCCTCGCAGTTGGAGTGGAGCAGATTTCGGAGAGACATTTAAGGAAATGCAAGCGCCAGCACGATTTATCCGGGACTTTGAGTCTCGCTCAAAACATAAGAATCGCAGAAGGATGTTTAAAAGACGTCTGAAAAACGTCATAATCTTTCGACGATCCTCTTTTACATCTTTTTTACGCAATGGATGAGACAAAAGAGTTTAAAATCCTTTTAAATCCGATATTTTACATAAAACTATTTCAGACGATACAAAAGCGATATTTGATAAATTACAAACATGGATTGATAATTTAATGGAAACTCCATTACAAAATTAAAAACGACTTTTAAGAAGCTTGTACAGTTCTCATCAGCTTAATCGAGATTGCAGTGAAGCGCAAAACCAACGAAAATGTTTGCAGTTGTCGTCTATTCCGATCGAATAAAATCGAGATTTTCTTTTTCTAGATGCTGCTGCGAGACAGACGCGCCGAAAAAATTGTGCTAATAGTACCAATGATAAATTAGGATATTAAAATATTGCGATGTTAAATCGTTCTATCTCATGCAAGTTGCATTAGTTATTTCTGCACAGTCAGTCTTCATTCGTGCCTTCAACGTGATTAAATCTGCGACTATCCATTAAACGAAATGGATTTTGCGCCAAGTTGATCGC